ATAACAGCTGAACATCTTGGGCCAGGGTCACTCACCTCTGTGTTTCCAGCCATGATATCTGTTTTCTGAGGGGGGGAAGTGCAAATGGGGTCTACAGAGCTGTCTGTGTCTTCCCCCGCCCATCCCGCTGTACCTCTGTCCTTTCCTCCAGCACTGTCTCTTTCTCTCTATCCTTTCATTCATCTCTCCCGTTATCTTTCCCCTCGCCTCTTTCTAGCCATTGCTCTTTCACTTCTTCTCTGGCCTCTGTTAGTCCATCTATGCACAGTAATTTCTTTTTCTGTGGCTGTCTCATTGCCTCCACAGCTTGCTTGCTTGGCTCTATCTATCTATCTATCTCGGTAACTCATCCATGCAGTTATTTACCTCATCCATCCATGCACACTCATCTATATCCACCTACACAACGATCTATCTAATCAGAGTGTGTATCAATCTCTGTACCTACCCATCTATCCACAGGTCTTTCTCTCATTTCCTCTCCTATGCCGGTTGCTCTTTCCATTATCTCTGCCACATCCATCCATTCATCCACCCCTTCCTTCTCCAGTTTTCTCTTTCTCCTCTTTACACCCTGCTGTACGCCAAGCACCTGTAATGGGTACATACAGATCTTCTCAGGCACTCTGTGTGCCCTGTTGAAGGGGGGAGATGGAGCAGGGGGACTAATATAAACTCCCTTTGACTTGCCTTGTGTTGTTTTTTTTCTCCCCGTCTCCTGCATTTCCAGGTGACACTATGGCCGATGCCTTCCTGCTGCTGCTCTGTGTGTTTGTCCCCCTGGCCTTCCCCCATGCATTTGTCTCTGGAGACAGCACAGGTAACACACACCCAACCCCACTTGCCATTGTGGATGTGGCTGGTGGCACTGCCTGTTACTAAGGTTGACTGATAGTTTCCATTGTAAGCCCCTGTTTTCAGGGACTTGCAGCTTTCTCCAACTTTAAGCCCTTGGGCTGAAACCTCCCCATGCTGCGTGTCTGCCTCTGGCTGGAATCTGCCTTTTAATTACTTGAGCCAATATTGTTTCTTTTCACAAGTCCCCCTGCCTTGGTACAGGATCAACCTACTCTGGCATAGGGAACAGGGAGAAGCAAAACCCATTGCTGTTGGCAAAGCACTGGGATCTGTGGGGGCATGAGCCATAAAACAGCACTGGGTTGGGGGGGTGGAAAGTTGCTACTTCTGTCCTCAGACCAGTCAATCAGGCTCCAGGCCACACGCTGGACAGTAAGTTCAAAGGCGGAGGCTGAAAAGCTGCCCAGTGCATGAGCACGGGCTGTTCTGGGCAGTGAATTAGGCAGAGGCTTGTGGCAAAGGCTGGACCGGAGCATGGAAGGAGGCTGTTTCAGTTAGGCCTCTCCATCCAGCTGATGCCTGTGTGATTGGGGCTGGGAGCTTGGCTTGTAGCCTTTAAATTGACCCAGGTCCAGGGGAGTGGAGGGGCTGCAGAAATCCAGGTGAGGAGAGGGCCTTGCAAACACCTTAGGGTGTTGGCTGCATACTGCACCCAGGGGACGGGGGGCAGAGTGAGGGAGAAGGAAGAGTGAAAACTGCCTTCCAACGCAATGAAAATAGAGGGTGCATGCATGCATGTGCAGCGCGGTGATCCCACGTCCCAGCCTGATATGGCTGATCAGTGTTGTATCCATCTCCCTTGCAGATGACCTCAAGGCTCTCAAGGTCTCCATCAGCCAACACCCACCCGTGCAGGCTGTGCTAGCTGGCAACATCCTGATCCCCTGCAGCATCATGTACCTGCGCCCCTTGCCCACCTCCAGCACGGCAGGGCGCCGGGCAGTGCTGGGGGCCCCCCGCGTCAAATGGACCTTCATCTCCGACGGGAGAGAGGTGGAGATCTTGGTCGCCCGAGGCAATAGGGTGAAGGTGAACGAGGACTATCGCTTCCGCGCCTCCCTGCCCACCTTCCAGCACCAGCGCACCAATGCCTCTCTGCTGCTCCGGGAGCTGCGGCCCAGCGACTCGGGGATCTACCGCTGCGACGTGCAGCACGGCATCGATGATGGGCATGACCTGCTGGAGGTGAAGGTCAAAGGTAATGGTGCCGGCCTTTGGGGTGTCATGTGAGGCATGGCAGGGGATGTAGAGCTGGCGGCTGCTCAGAAAAATCTAATAAGGATGGGGTGAGAAAGGGATATCTTCATCCTCTAGTGGCTCAGGAAGTGGGGAATTCAAAGCAGCAGTTTCCAAATGAGAGCATCCCCTCATTTCCAGGAGACCCAGAAACCTAAAAGCAGCTTGTTACAAGTCAGCAGGAGTGTTCCCTTTGCTGGATTTCAGCTTCAAGCCTTTGGAGAGGGGGTTTTGTCTCTAGATGGAAAGAGAATCATAGTCAATAAGGGTGGGAAGGGACCTCAGGAGGTCATTATCTAGTCCAAGCCCCTGCTCAAAGCAAGACCAGCCCCAACTACATCATCCCAGCAAAGGAAAGGGCAGGGCATTTCCAGATCCAAAACCTGTAGAGAAGCATCAGATCATTGCTCTATCTATATAATATAATATATATATATAGAGAGAGAGAGAGAGATAGAGAGATATCTATCTAAATATAGATTGGCTGAGGGGTCGCACTCAGAGGGTGGTGGTGGATGGGTCATATTCGACCTGGGGGGAGGTGGGTAGCGGAGTCCCCCAGGGCTCGGTCCTGGGGCCTGCGCTGTTCAATTTCTTCATCAGCGATCTGGATGATGGGGTGGAAAGTAACCTGTTTAAATTCGCTGATGACACCAAAATCTGGGGGGAGGTGAGCACGCTAGCAGGGAGTGAGAGATTGCAGAGGGATCTGGATAGGTTACAGGGGTGGGCTAACAGGAACAGGATGCGTTTTAACACGGACAAGTGCAGGGTGCTGCACTTGGGCAGTAGGAACCAGCAGCACACTTACACAATGGGGAACTCCTTACTCGAGAGCACGGAGGCAGAAAGGGATCTTGGAGTCATTATTGACTCCAAGATGAACATGGGCCGACAATGCGAGGTCATGGTTGGCAGGGCTAACCGGACCTTGTCGTGCATCCACAGGTGCATCTCGAGTAGAGCCAAGGAGGTGATCCTCCCCCTCTACGCGACGCTGGTCAGGCCACAGCTGGAGTATTGTGTCCAGTTCTGTGCGCCCCATTTCAAGAGGGATGTGGACAACATGGAGAGGGTCCAGAGGAGGGCCACCCGCATGATCCGGGGACAACAGGGCAGACCCTACAGTGAGAGACTGCGGGACCTGAACCTATTCAGCCTCCACAAGAGAAGGCTGAGGGGGGACCTGGTGACCGTCTATAGACTCACTAGGGGGGACCAGAAGGGTTTGGGGGAGACGCTGTTTCCCCTAGCGCCCGCTGGCATAACAAGGAGTAATGGGCACAAGTTGATGGAGAGGAGGTATAGATTGGACATCCGCAAAAACTACTTCACAGTTAGGGCGGCTAGGAGCTGGAACCAACTTCCAAGGGAAGTGGTGCTGGCCCCTACCCTGGGGGTCTTTAAGAAGAGGCTGGATGCCTACCTGGCTGGACTCGTTTGAGTCCCATTTCTCTTTTTGGGGTTTTTTGTTGTTCTCCCGCCCTGGCGGGGGGTCGGGCTAGAAGATCTACTAGGTCCCTTCCGACCCTTAATCTATGAATCTATGAATCTATGAATCTATATCTCTATAGCCATATCTCATATTGATCAGGTATCTATAGCCAACCTCATATTGATGAGGTTGCTAGTCTTTGCTTAGGCTCTCCTTAGGTGGGTCTTCCTCAGTGGGGACTGAATCCAGGATCTCCTGCTTCAAAGTATATCATGTGATAGCCTAGGTGATGGCAGTACAGATGCAGTGACCACTCTAAGGTGATGGCGCTGCTGAGCATTATCTCTTCATATCCCCGCTGCCCAAAGCAAATGGCTCCCTCCCATGCTCCAGTCTGCACCCATCCTGCCATATCCCCCCCTCTGTCTCCCAGGGGTTGTCTTCCACTACCGCGAGGGCTCCCAGCGCTACGCCTACACCTTTGCCGAAGCCCAGGAGGCCTGTGCCAGGGTCGGGGCCCGCATTGCCACACCCGAGCAGCTCTATGCCGCCTACCTGGGGGGCTATGAGCAGTGTGACGCCGGCTGGATCGCGGACCAGACCGTCAGGTGGGCGGCCGGCTGCCAGGGACTGCAAATCTCCCATGGGGGCTAACCCGTGGCATGGCCTGCGGTGGGATTCAGGAATGCAACACATGCAGTGAATAGAGGGAACATGTGCAGTGGTGCTGCCTGGGACTAAAGGGCTGGCTATAGTGCAAGGTCCTGATATGAGGCCTAGGGCCTGAGCATAGACAGCTCTGGATCCGTTTGCACCTGCTTGCAGGTTGCAGGATCTCACGGGGCTGCTGCAGGTATCTGATGGTGAACCGAGGGGACACGATGAACCATTCGGATGGGGCTGGCCAGAAATTCTGGGCTAGATTAAAATATTCCTACCTTGCCCCATTCTTTTCCTCCTGCAAAAAGGCAGCAGCAAACCCATCCCTGTGCTTCCTCCGCCCAGGTACCCCATCCACACCCCGCGGGAGGCCTGTTATGGAGACATGAATGGCTTCCCTGGGGTCCGCAACTACGGGGTGGTGGACCCCGAAGACACGTACGATGTGTATTGTTACGCCGAAGAGCTCCACGGTAATTACAAGCCTGAAGCGCATGGTATCTTAATTGGCTGCTCTGGCCCTGTGGTCCCCCTAGCTACCTGTGTAGCCCCCCCGGCCTGTCTCGGGGATCCTCTATGGGGTAATTATGGAATGAGCTGCCCATATATGAAGTTTCCTCTCAGGCAGAGCTGGGCTTATGCCCTGCAGACTGCAATTGCTTTAAGGCCCCTTCCTTTCCCCCCAGTTCTGGTTGCAATTTTAGCCACGCATCCTTGGTTCTGGAGTATGGCCCCAGTCCTATGAGATACTGGAAACTGTCCCAGTGACTTCAGCAGGATGCTCTAGATATTTGGATGTTCAAATGTGGGGCAAAAGAGGCACATCCCCTTTTTGGTTATTTCTCTTGAGCTCTGAGGGATGCCTGGAGTTCATGAGCAAACAGCGCTAGACCTGAACACCTGCCCACAGCCATGAATATTCAGTGTATCCAGGGGACTTTGACCTGTCTCTTTGGTGGCTTGCAAAATCCTCCCGTTCTGTATACCTATCACAAACTCAGAGAGAGAATCTTGGCCTTGAGTATTTCATCCTACTGCATGAAAACATTGTGCGCTTCGGTGGCAACATCCCAGGGGGAAAATGGGTGACAAAATAAAGTTGTCTGTTTGCTAGCCCAACCAAAAAAGCAGTGAGGCGAACACGTGGGTTGGATGAAACCAGGACAGAAACCTTTTACGGTGAAACAGAGAAAGCCCATGAGGTTCATTCTGGACCAGCCCAAAAGGTTTGGTTCAACCCAATATTATAGGTCTTGTTGCATTTGAGGGTTGTGCTGCTGGAATCATCCCTTCTGGGTGTTTTTTTCCCCCTTGGGCACAATTTTTCACTGTCTTCTACCAGAATTTATGAAGGTTTTGGTTCACATTGGACTTTTCAGCCCATTCGGTGATATCACCCAGCTCTGTTCCCAGGGTCTGAGATCGGCCCATGCATCTCGCTTCGTAGCTTGGAGTCTGTGCATGTCTAGGAACTGGTGGGTGGGTGTTTGAAGAACAGAAAATGGCTTGAATTACTAATGTATGGTGCAGAGGGTGAGACAAATCGTGATTATTGATGGTTATCATAAGTTATGCATGTGAAAAGTGCTAAATCCTGGCTCTCTGGCCTTAGTGGGAGAGCATTTCTTTATGGCATGGACTTTCTTGCTGGATGGTTGCATGGTCTGTCGTGTTGTTGCATGTTTCATGCTGATGTGTCATTGTAAATCCATGTGGACTCGGTGGGTTGTCACATGTGTCCAAGGGCATCATTGCATGTCCTGCCTGGCGTCATTTTATGGGTGGCTCTAAGCTGATGGATTATATGTATGATGCTGAGCTGGTGGGTCACCACATGTCCAGCCTCAGAGCAGAGACCAGTCTGGTGGATCGTTACAGGTCAGGAGCTTACCTAGTGGTTAGCACACATAAGGGATTGGCGTGTTTCTTGGAGACCCAACACAAGTTATGCCTGAGATCACTGCTGCATTCACTGCTCTGCTGGGTTCTGACATCCATGTGTTTTCACATGCATGAAGCTCATGGGATGAACTGTGACACCTCCTGCCTGTGTATATCATTTTATACATCACCTGACTTGAGTGATCCTGGCTGCTGCAGACCGCTGTCATCTGAAGGGCAGGAGAAAATGCGTCTAAACCTCCTTCTTCAAGCCCCTATCCCGGCATCAATATTGGGAGTGAGATGGTGGCACCAGGCATTCCTTGGTGTTACCACGGATTACCACTGAGTTACCCCCAGGATGAAGTTAGCCCCTGTAATGCCCTGTCTGCCTGTGTTTTTCTGCCTCTGAGATGATCTGGGCTTTTAACTAGCAGAGGCTCCAGTGACACCTGCTTCTCATCCACACACCGAGTGATGCCAAAGGGTTTGTGCTACAGACAGCATTACGGCTGTAATGTGTGATTTGCCACCCTGCAGAGCTGATGGCACCAAGTCCTTGAATCTCTGATGTCTTATAATTTTGGAGGACAAAAAGGCCGGCTTGGTCTGGTGTGGGCAGCTCTGCCGAGGGCTGAATTGCTTTGCCCTGGATTGGGGTGGACACGAGGCATTGGGGCTTTTTCCCCTGATGCCTGGTGAGCTCCAGCGTGGCTCTGGGAGGGCTGAGCGGGCCTTGGCTGGGGTCACAATGTTCTCGTAGTGGTGTTGGCACCCGGTCACAGCAGGATGTGAACTTATCGGGCACAAAGGGGGGTTCAGGTCAGCTGGAGGAGACATCAGAGGCTTGGATTCTTTCCCCTGCACCGTCTGCCCAGCCCGGCAGGGCCCTTTGGAACAGAAACTCGCCAGACAGCAGGAAAAAAAGAAGACCTGGAGAAATGAAAGGGAAAGCACTGGCTTTTCCAAAACAATCACGGTCTGTCCCCACTGCCACAGTCCCACAGCTGTGCTGCAAGGGTCTGGACAAGCCCTCGAGTGCCAGCATAGCCCGTGAGCTCCAACACGTTCTGGGCTGCCTTCTCAAAGGGGTCTATATGCTTTAAGTCCAGTTGGTCTCCTAAGAGATTTAGGCTCCTACAGCCTTGGTCCTCAAAGACCCCTCACTCCTGGCGGCTCTCAATCGGGGCCGGCCAACCTGGGGCACCCATGCTACAAGGGGCACAGATAGCCTGTGTGCATGGCATGCAGCAGATCAAGGTGGGAGATTGGGTAGGGAGCAGAAAGCAGAGCAGTGCATGCCTGCCAAAAAGCCTGGCCCCCACTGCTCTAAATTTACTTTTGAGGACCTAAATGAAGCCCCATTTTCGAGGGTGATTTCAAGGAACATATTCCAAAGTGATCTAGGAACCTAATTCTCCTTTTCTAAAAGGTGGAGATGGGCTACGTCCGGCTCAGAACACCTGGGTTCTGGCCTGGCAGCAAAGCCAGGACTGTGGGGCGACCTTGGACACGGTCACCTCCCCTTTCTGTGCCTCTGAATCCAGACCTGGCCAAGGTGTAGCTGTGAGGTCTGTGGAGGAAAAGCA